GTAGCAGAAACGGGGGGGGGGGGTGAAATCAAACGTGGAAGCAGAAACGGGAGGGTAAAAGAAAATGAATTTATTTGTTTAAATATCATGTATATATATATATTGCTTTGCGTGAACGTGAATTTTTAATTTTTTTTCTGATTTGATTTGTTTTCGTATTAAAAAGAAATAAAAAATCGAATCCGAGCGTAATTTATCATCGATTGATTTTTTAGTGACGTCATTTAAATGTAAATAAACAAATATCTTTAAAGGTCAATAACCTCGTAATGTAAATAATCGGAAATAAAAATAAGGGTGGCGGTGGTATTATTATCGTTATTAAAATTTAAAAAATATTTTAAACGGGAATTTATAATTTCGGGAGTACCAACGTAACAAATTCATTCTTGGGGGAGGGGAAATTTTTTTTTATTTTTTGTAAAACGTATCAATCAATACTTTACCTTTCGGTTGTTGTTGTTGTTGTCGGCGGCTGTGATTCGGTGAAATTATTATTATCACTCGTAAAATTTTGTTTGACTTTTCCGACGGTATAAGAATTTCCGTTTGTTTTTGTTAGAGTTTGTCCGAAAGTAGGAGTTTTTACGATATTGAATTGTTTCACATTTTCACTTGTCATCGAATAGTTTTTAAAACTCACATTTAACTTTTTGTCGTCATTTTCCACCACGACACTATTTTTACTCTCTGTAAAGTTTTCATAAAACTTTTCACCTCTCATATCCGGCGTCGGGGACGACGACTCTTGTCGAAGGGTTTCGGTAGTTTTTTTCATCAAAAACGGATAATAATCGTCGTAGAAATCTTTTTTATCTTGGGCATCGTCAAAATCGGTTTCCTTCAAATCAATCAATGCGGTTTTATATAGAGAAACCGGAGTCGAACAATGAGCCGTGTTAATATCATCTTCTTGATCGTAATTTAAATTTTCAATGACGTGAATTTTCAACCATTTAGACAAAATTAATATTTCCCTTCCGCAATGCCACGGATTTCCCTCGACTTTGAATATTTTTAATTTCGGTAATAAACCGAAAATATCCTTTCTCATGATGGTCAAATTAGAAAATCTAACATCTAATTCTTGTAATTTGATAAATAATTGTAGAGTTTTAGTGTCTTGAAGAAATATCGAAGTCAAAGCGGGACTCGATGCTAAATTTAATCGTTTAACATTTTCCGGTGATTGTATTGGGAATTGTTTGTACCTCGTCGTGAACCTTTCGGGAATATTCGTTAAATAAGATAAATTTAAAATTTTTAATTTCATTTTACCGTTTATGTTGGGTAGCGTTAACATCGGATTATGAGATAAATCCAATGTATTTAAATTAACTAAATTATTAAATGAATTTTCTTCGATGTAACTTATTTGATTGTAACTAAGGAAAAGTTGTTTGAGACGTGATAAATTTAAAAAATCCGATCCGGATACGTTTTGTATGTTATTATACGATAAATTTAATATTTCTAAATTGTTGGGAAGACTTTTGGGTATTTGAAATAAATTATTATCGCTTATTTGTAAATGATTTAAAAATTCCAAACGACCGAGAGCATCGTCTTCGATGTAACTTATTTTATTGTTTTTTAAATTCAAATAAGAGAGTAAAAAATAACTGTCGAGATCACCGCACCTTATCGAAAGCAAATGATTACCCATGACGTTGAGAATTCTAACGGATCTTTCTAGAGTTCCCGGTATTTGTTTGATTCCCGTTTTTGACATGTCGACTATTTGTAGTCTTTTTCCCGTTCCCAACAACGGCATGACGGACTCTTGTTTTTCCGACAGGGGATTCCTTGCCAAATTTAATATGTTCAAATTAGTCAAATATTGAAACGTGCTCGGCGCGACGTTGGATATAAAATTTTCCGACACGTCTAAATAAATTAATTTTGTTAGGTTTTTAAATATGATTTCGTTGAGGGATGCCAATTTGTTAGAGTGTACGTCGAGTTCGAGAAGGTTGTTCAAAGGGTTAAACGTATCGTTATCGATTATTTTTATCAAATTGTTGGATAAGTTTAATATTTCGAGATGTTGAAATTGATCGAACGTATTCTCCGGTATGTGTTCCAATGAATTATTTGATAAAATTAAAATTTTAACGTTTTTAAATTTAACGTTTTTACGATACGTCATCGTCGTCGTTGTTGACGTCATCATCATCGAATCCTCCCCATCGTGTTTAGTTCGTAATTTTGGATTTTGTAACAAAGCAAATGGTAAAAATTCATCTTTTTTTTTTTTATTATCGAATCCTCCATTATTTTTCTCATTTTCCTTTTCTTTCTCTTTCTCCTTTTTTATTGATTTTATGATGGTATCATTTTTTTTTAAAAGAAAATTATTCGAAAATGTATTTTGAATCGTCGTTTGATTTATTACTCCGTCGGTTACGGATAAAAGTGTCAATTTTTTTAGTTGAAGTGGACTTTCACTTAATATCTGACGAAAAATATTGAATGATTGAAAATACGTTTGCCGAATAATAAGTTGAGTCGTAGATTCTGGAAGATATTGAAACGATAAAGATTTCAAATCACGAATCCCTTCGCATGTAATTTTATAGGTGAAAATTCCCGATTTTCCTTTTCCCATTTCTCCCTCCTTGGATCCCTTAAATTTATCATAATAATTCGAATGGGAATCATTCGTGTCATCCTTCGGATCATTTGTTTTTTTCACCCCCATTTTATTCATATTAAAATCTTTTTCTTTTTTATTTTTTATTATCAATGTCCTTTTCGTTCTTATTTCTTTTGTCATATTCTTGATCCCATTCACGTTTTTATCGTAATAATCATCATCATCATCATCAATATTTATCCTCGTATTATTTTTCCATTTATTTTTATACGTACTGTTATTATTATTATTATTTAAAAAAATATTTTTTAATGAATTTTTAGAACATTTTTTACTACCACTACTACCTTCGTACGGGGATTTAATTGATGTTTTATTAAAATTTTCAACATTGATTTGAGATTTAAATTTGAGTTCGTTCAAATTATTTAATATTATTCTATACGTGTTTAAATTTTTATTCAAATTCGTTTCCGTAAAATTTTTCTCGTACAATAATTGTATTATTTGATTTTGTGCCGCTGCTGCTGCTGCTTCGCTGTTGTTGTTGCTGTTGCTGCTATTATTATCATTATTATTATCATTACTATTATTATTATTACTTTGGAAAATTAAAGTTTCCGTGCAGGTACAATTTTCGGGACATTTAAATGATTTGCTATGTGCCGTCGCATATATTAAAATCGTCATTATTAATTGTAACATTTTGCGTTTTAATTTTATTAATTCTTTTTCGGTCGTAAATTGATTATCTGTAACAAAAAGAAAATTTTTTAATGAATTAATTTTCCGCGAATAAACAAAAATTTAAGGGGGGAGGGGTAGGAGGAGGAGTGAGAAAGAGAGGAAAAATGTTTTTTAAATAAATAATAATGGAGACATCGGGATCATAAAAAAAAAAGAAAACAAAAAAAAAAAAAAGGAAAGAAAATCTTTTTTTTTGCTCCTCCCCCCCCCCACCTCCCACCATTATTACATCTTTTGTTTTGAAACTTTTATGGGTTAAAAAAGAAAAATATACCCAAATTTATCGGTCACTTGAAAAATTTGTTCAGAAAACAAAGGAAAATTTGTTTTCTTGAATGTTTGAATCATCTGAAAATGTTTTGATCTGACAAATATTATATAAATATTTTTATAAAAACAAAAACAAAAACAAATGTCGGAATGTTGGTAACAATGATTTTTTAGATAAAAAAAAATAAAATGAGATGGGAAAAGTTTTTTTTAAACAAACAAACAAACAAACAAAAAATCGAAATTACTACTTGAATGTAAAATGTAAAAAAACATTTTCCGTCATGTCGAGGAGGGAGAGGAGGAGGGAAAGGAGGAGGGAGAGGGGGAGGAGAGGGAGGAAGAAAAAAACAAAAAGTCGTTTCGTAACAACTTGAGTAAATCTTAAATAAAATTCGGTTTAAAAAGGAAAATTAACGAAATAAAAGATGTGGAATTGTTTTTGTTGTTTGTTGTTTGTTGTTGTTGTTGTGTGTGTGTGTATGTGTCACATTTCAAACAAACAAAAGACAAGTTTCGGAGAAGGGGGGGGTAGAAAACACCCAAAGGATTCATTCCATCGAATCATTTTCTTAAAAAATTCAGGTACGACGTCTTGTAAGCGTTCGGAGAGGAAAAAAAATATTTTTAATAATAAT